GGGGAGGCGCCTATAGGGCCGGGCCGGTGCATGTGACCCGGAGCCCCCGATGAGTCAGGAGCTGCCGGCAAAGGCGCACGTACCAGCGCGGGTGGGGGATCGGTGGGGGTGGGGAGGTGAGAGAAGCAAACTGGGAGAGGCAGTGAAGACCCGCGACCTGTCCTGCTACCGACCGACAGAGCACACAGGCGCTCACCAATGCTCCGATCCACTCTAAGGGTACAAGCGCGGTCTCACGCCATAACCCAGCGGGTACTGAGTCCCACACTGACAGAGAAGCCCATGGCAGACTCAGTATCTCATAAATCAAGTTAGACAAAAGAGTATCAAAATGTCTATTTATTTGAAAACCAACGGAAGTGTCCCTAACACCCCTGCCTGCCTCTGCAGCACTTTTCTCCAGCCAACCCTCCAAGCATAAGCATCCCCTGCTGCTTACCCAGACCTGCGTGAGGACTGCCCCCTGCCTAGGCTCCAGAGGGAGCTCAGGCCCCTAGAACACCTCACACTGCACCCAGCAGTGCCCAGGTGACCATCACTGAGCCTGGATTTCAGGCTGTGATGAATTCCCAGTTCTGGAGCAAAAGGAAGCATCCTGTCTTCCGTGAATGTAGTGGCCTGGGACTGGAGTATTATCAGGTCTTGGGGCCGAGGTCATTGGTCTCCTGGAGGAAGAGAACAGAAGTAAAGTGTCCATCTAAACCTGAAGTGCCAGCTGCCTCACTTCCCTGGGCTCCTCTCAATCTCTTTCTGCCTCACCCTGCCCTCTTTTCTTCTCCTCACTCCTGTGTCCTGTTATTTTTAGCTTTAGAGTTTTAGTGCAGGATCTTCCTCTCCTGCCTTCTCTCTCAGGCCCTGCTGCATTCCTCATATTCTACCTACCACTCCCCATACCACTCTATGCCCCAAGATCTGTCCTTTCCTATGATCTTCACTCTATGCTAGTGTTGGCTGCTAACCCAGTCCTCTGCCTGCCACCCCCAGTTCTTCTCACCTATTCTTCTGACCTCTTGATGTATCTCCTAGGCTTTTTATCAGCTCTCCCAGGCCCTCTGGTCCTTTCTCCTCACCTTTCTCCCCTAACTCTGATCTCTTTGAGGGTCTTCCTTGCCTTAGCCCTTCCTTACCCACTGCCTTTTGCAGCACCTTCTCTTCCCCTCTCTTCCCAGCCCTTGGCATCTTCTTGCTGCCTCCCTGCCAGTATCCTTACTATCCTTGGAGGGTAGAAGAACCACTGCTAGACCAATGGCTGGTCCAGTTCCAAGTCATGCTCAGGCTCAGCTTCCTGCTCCTGTTCCTCCTTGATCCTCTGACGGATCTCATCAGCCTCAATCCGCTCTTCCTCCTCATAGAAATCCTTGTCCAGACGCTCCAGGTGTGCCATCTGTACCAGGGCCTCCTGACGGTAATCAGTCTCATCTGTAATTGGGTTCTCCAGCAACACCAGGGCTCGAAGCTTGGGCAGGTCCCGAAGCTTTGCCAGCTCTCCCAGGTCACTCACCATGTTGCCCCTGCAGGTGTGGTCAAGAGGGTTGATCCAGGAATAAGGGACTTTGGTTCCTTGCTGCTAGGAATGGGACCTCTGGAGGGAACTTCCCACCAGGCCTATTTTTCTTGAAACAGACTGTGAGGACAGTCCTGCTAAATGCTGCCAGATTTGCTGCAGAGATGCTGTCCAGTCCCACTCCTGTCCTGCTTCTGCCCTTCCATGAATCTCTAAGTGCCATACTCTACTCTGTGATGTCTCATCTTTATACTTTTGGAGGAGCAAAGCTAGGTCACATCCTGTCCTGTAGTTAGGGAGGAGTGGGCAAATGTCCGTTATAAACAGAACAGACTTTTTCTGTGTCAATCACACATCAAGATAGAAAGTAGGACCAAGTTCAGTAGAGAAGGAATAGGAGGGCTGGGGATGTATCTCATTGAAGGAGTGTTTGTCTAACATGCTTGAAGTCCTGGGTTTGATCCCCAGCAGCACACACACACAAAAAAAGTATTAACTGTGAAGGGATGCATAGTAGGTGCTGTGTTGATGCTCCCCACAAGAAGGAGCCTAGAGCTAGGGCTGGGCCAGGCCTCCCAGTCTGAAGAACAAGTTTGGTTTCCTAATGTGCCTCACTGTGGTATATTCATATTTATTAAATATTTCAGCCGGATCTTTCGTCTCTCCTCTTTTCTTTTCTTTTTTTCTTTGTACTGGGGATTGAATCCAGAGTACTTTACTACTGAGCTACATCCCCAACCACTTTTATTCTTTTTTTAAAATTTTTTTTTAAATTTTTTAGATGTAGATGGACACAACACAATGCCTCTATTTATATGTGGTGCTGAGGGATCAGCACCACATAAAAATAAAGGATCAAACCCAGGTCCCACCTGTGCTAGGCGAGTGCTCTACTGCTGAGCCACAATCCCAGCCCCTACTTTTATTCTTTATTTTGAGACAGAGTCTCCCTAATTGCTTAGGGCCTCCCTAAGTTGCTGAGGCTGGCTTCCAATTTGCAATCCTCCTGCCTCAGCTTCCCAAGTGTGGCCACTGCACCTAGCTGTTTCAGCCTAATCTTAGTGAATGTGCTACGCCTCCTGCAGTGTTTCTCACTTGGAGGGGTTGGAAAATGCCAGGGAGCAGAGCAGGTACATTTTGTATTGAATATTCTGTTTAGGGTCTCTGCCTCAGAAGCACCTTCCAGTGGTTTAGACAACATGTGCACCCCTTCCTCCACTTACCTCCAAACATACCCGAATAATAGTCACTAAGGAAGGGCCTATTATCCCTGTCTAGCCCATTAATAGGAAAACTCACATACACAAATGCACTCTAGCAGATCTATGTGGCAGAACTAATTAATAAGAGATTGCTCCAGGGGTCAAAGGCAGGAATTGGAATTTCAAGGCACAACCACCTCTTCCTATTTGGATATTCTCTTTCTCTTGATTTCTTCTTTTTTTATATTTATTTTTTAGTTATAGGTAGGTACAATATCTTTATTATTTTATTTTTATGAGGGCACGCTTGCTAGGTGAGCCCTCTACCACTGAGCCCAACTCCAGCTCTTGATTTCTTCTTATTGCCCAAGGATAGAGACAATTTCCTTACATCATTGCTTAAAGAAACACACATAAAATCCTCCAGGGGTTGAAGATATCTCTGAGTGGTAGAGTGTATGCTTAGCATGTGTGAGTTCCTGGGCCTGATCCCCAGCACCGCCCCCCCTCCAAAAAAAAAAAAAAAAAAAAAAAAAGAAAAGAAACAAATGGTAGGAAAGGAAGAAATTTAAAAATCTTTCATTAGATAAGAGTTGGTGAAAGAATCTCCAGACCCCAGCACCTTTCTACCTGGAGAGTTTCTTTAAAATACTCCTCCCTCAAATCTGAACACATCTTGTGTTTAATATCAGTAAGGAAGCCATCCCTTACAGGTGGGCCAAGGCGAAGAGAGGCAGGAAAAGGGGCCTAGGACATAGAGAAAGGAAGTGGGAATTCCTATAGAATAAGGCCAAGGGGTTGGGGGTATAGCTTAGTTGGTAGAATGCTTGCCTGACATGCACAAGGTCTGGGTTCAATCTCCAGCACTACTACTACTAATAATAAAAATGATAATAATACTAATAATACTGCTGCCAGGAAAAGAGCTGGAGATAGATTATGAGCCCCTGAAAATCAGAGACTACCTCTGATTCCTTTAGATATTCCCAAAACACAACACAATACAAGGCCTGGCAATAGTATATTCTTATTAATTGTGTATTTAATTAATTAAGGATTTAAGAGTTACTAGTTATAAATGGTCTTAGTGTTAGAATTAGAACCAAATGCAGAACTAAGTAAGAAAAGCAGGGGTGATGATCCAGAAGGATGAGGTGAGTACCTAGCTATGCACTAGAAGGAGCCAGGGAAGAACACAGGCTCAAAATCCAGGTCAATGGCGACATAAGGGGAAGCTTGGGAGGAGGCACATACCTCAGGTTGAGGTACTGCAGTGATTTCATTTCCATGGAGAACCCATTCAGAGTTTCAATTTGATTGTCTCGGAGATGCAAGGTAGTGAGATTGCTTAGGTTCTCCAAGCCTTCAACCTTCTTCAGCAAGTTCTGGGCCTAGACAGCAGGATACAGTAAATGGATTAAGAATAGAACAGGGATAGAGAAGAAAAGGAAGTCAGAAAGAGATGAAGCAAAAGAGGAAATCCAAGTGGTGGGGGGCTATGGAAGAGTAATGAGGATGAATGAGTAGAGAATAGTATAGAGAGTGAAGAAGTCCAGGAAAGGGCTAAGGGTATAGCTCAGTGGTAGAATGCTTGCCTAACATGCAAGGCCCTGCTATGTCCTAGGCCCCATTTCCAGAACTGCAAAATGTTTTAAAAGAGCCAGGCATGGGGGCTGGAATTGTGGCTCAGTGGTAGAGCGCTTGCCTAGCACGTGCAAGGCCCTGAGTTCTATCCCCAGCACCACATAAAAATAAATAAATAAAATAAAGATATTGTGCCCAACAACAACTTAAAAAAAAAAAAGAGCCAGGCATGGTGGTGCACACCTGTAATCCCAGCAACTCAGAAGGCTGAGGCAGGAAGATCACAAATTTGAGGCCAGCCTCAGCAACCTAGTGAGAAAAATTTTTTTTTTTTTTTTTTTTTTAATATTTATTTCTTAGTTCTCGGCGGACACAACATCTTTGTTGGTATGTGGTGCTGAGGATCGAACCCGGGTCGCACGCATGCCAGGCGAGCGTGCTACCGCTTGAGCCACATCCCCTGCCCATGAGAAAAATTTAAAAATAAAAAATAAATAGGGCAGGGGCTGGAGATGTGGCTCAAGCGGTAGTGCGCTTGCCTGGCATGCGTACGGCCCGGTTCGATCCTCAGCACCACATACCAACAAAGATGTTGTGTCCGCCGAGAACTAAAAAATAAATATTAAAAATTCTCTCTCTCTCTCTCTCTTCTCTCTCACTCACTCTCAAAAAAAAAAAAAATAGGGCAAAGGGCTATGAATGTGCTCAGTTGTGTAGCTCCCTGAGTTTAATCCGTGGTTAAAAAAAAAAAAGAACTTATCTCAAAATAATAAAAAGGGTTGGGGCTGGGGTTGAGGCTCAGTGATAGAGTGCTTGGGTTTGATCCTCAGCACCACATAAAAATAAACATAAAGATATTGTGTCCATCTACAACTAAAAAAATTTTTTAAATAATAATAATAATAATGGTTAAGGATGTAGCTCAGTGGTAGTGCCTGGATTCAATCCAATCCCCAGTATAAAATCTTTTTTTTGGAAGTCTAGGAGAAAGGTCAGCTGTAATTGCCTACCAGATATCCCACCAAAGCTACCTCTAATTAAGGAGGAGGAGATGCTTTAACCTATTCTCAGGCCCAGGAGTCCTATTCTTCCACTGAGAAGTGGCTATTGCACCATCCTAGAATGAAGAATCTCAAATCTAAAAACCTAACCATTTAAGGGGACTCCTTAGCCTGATATCTGTACTTCAGATATGGTACATTTTGCTGCTGCATTTTGCTGTATCAAAGCAAATTATTATTATCTACACATTGTGTATTGTTAGTCCTGCTTTGTAGGAAGCATCTTGCCAGCTTTAATTTTACATCTCCATAGTATGAATGAAGAGTGCTGTGTAATTCAGTCAAGGACAATCTGAGAACTCAGAAAATGACAGTAAAGGCTCAAAAAATGACAGTGGTTATTTGCTGCTATATATTGGTTATATGTAACTTGTTTTGATCTTTACAGGGCCTCACAGCCCAGAATTTGTCTTGAGTCTCAGATGTGACTTTGGACTTGGACTTTTGAGTAATCTGTAACTGTTAAGATTATTTAAACTCTTGGATATGAACTAAATGTATTTTGAGGGGCTGGGGATGTGGCTCAAGCGGTAGTGCGCTCGCCTGGCATGTGTGAGGCCTGGGTTTGATCCTCAGCACCACGTACAAACAAAGATGTTGTATCCGCCGAGAACTAAAAAATAAATATTAAAAAAATTCTCTCTCTCTCTCTCTCTCTCTTTAAAAAAATTATTTAAAAAATGTATTTTGAAAAAATATATAATGATTGTAATTACGATGATGAAGTTAGTAGCAAAGCCTAAGGATCCTAGGATAGTACCCTCTTGCCATACCACCCTATGGTCCAATGAGCTACCAGGAAGAGGTTCTTCAGCTTAGGAAGGTTGATTCCCAGGGTGGATTCTAGCTGGTTTCCCCGAAGCTCCAGGGTGTGCAGACTGTTCAGCTTTTGGGGGTCAAGACCGGTTACCATGTGGATGTGGTTCCCTGGGAAAAAGGAAGGTGTCAAGAATTCAAAGGGCCACTCTGATTGTTCAGCAACAGAACCTGAATTTGGGGTGCTTATTAATTGTCCTCTTCCTCTAACACAGGGTGGAGAGTGAGAAGGGATAGCTTCAGACTAATGTCTCTGGAGCCCTGGGGCAGGTGGACCAGACAGACATGTCCACCCAAGCCTTGAGGATCAAATGAAGGGTGTCCAAGCAATCTACCTATCTACTCCCTCTCCTTGAGTTTTTGCTTAAATGTCATCTTCTCAATGATGCTTGTTCTAACCAAACTATTTAAAATTGCCCCCATCCACCTTTTCTGATCTTTTCCACTGCATTTATCTTTTATAAATTGAACCCACTGAGCTATACTTCCAGCATTTTTTTTTTTTTAATTTGGAGACAGAATCTTGCTAAGTTGCCCAGGCTGGACTCAAACTTGCAATCCACTTATCTCAGTCCCCTGAGTCACTGGAATTACAGGAATACATCACCATGCTCAGATAATTTTATTTTTTTATTGTTTATTGTCTGTCTCCCCCAACTAGAATGTATGCTACACAAGAATTGGAATATTTTTGGAGGGTACTAGGGATTTAACCCAGAGGTGCTTTATCACTGAGCTACATCCCCAGCCCTTTTCTTTTTTTAATTTTAGACAGGGTCTCACTAAGTTACTTAAGGCCTTGCTAAATTGCTGAGGCTGGCTTTGAACCTGTGATCTCCTGCCTCAGCCTTGCAAATTGCTGGAATTACAGGGGTGAAATTTATGTTTTGTTCACTGTTATATCCCCAACACAAAGAACTGTCATGATGAATTATAATGAGGTTTTTTTGTTGTTGTTGTTGTTGTTTTTTGTACTGGGGATTGAACTCAGGGGCACTCAACCACTGAGCCACATCCCCAGTCCTTTTTGTATTTTATTTAGATACAGGGTCTCACTGAGTTGCTTAGCAGCCTTGCTTTTGCTAAGGCTGGCTTTGAACTCTCAATCCTCCTATCTCAGCCTCCCAAACCACTGGGATTAAAGGCATTCGACACTGCATCCAGTCATAGTGAGCTTCTTGATGTGTGTGTGTGTGTGTGTGTGTGTGTGCGCGCGCGCGCACGCACACATGTCTCTATGGGTGTCTGTGTCTGTGTGTGTGTTTCTGGTGCTGGGGATGAATCCAGGGCATCATGCATGCTAAGCAAGCGCTCTTCCACTGAGCTACCCCTACCTCTGCAAATGCCTTAATGAATAAAAGAAAGAATGAATGAAGAGTGCTGTGTAATTCAGTCAAGGACAACACTGCCCTTCTATCAGACCCAGACTAGGAAGGAAAGAATTGGCCTAGAAATGTAGCTCAGTGGTACAGTGCTTGTCTAGCATGCTTTAGGCCATGGGTTTAATCCTCAGTACCAAAAGAAAAAAAAATGAAGGGAAGAATCTTGTGTAGCCCATCCTAAGAACCCACCTTTGAGATCTAGGCTTCTTAGACGAGGATGAGAGATGCCCTCAGTATCAGTGATCTGGTTGTAGGCAAAACTAGCAATTTGCAGGTAGGGTAGTTCATTCAGTCGGGCAGTCCGAAGCTGATTGCTATCAGCCTTAAGCCACAGCAGGTGAGTGAGGAAATTGAGTGGAGACAGGTCAGTCAGGTGGTTCTCAGAAATATCCACATAGCGCAGATGGATGTAGGAGTGCAGCAAGTTAATATCTGTCAGGTCCCTAGGAGATGGCAGAAGAAGGATTAGAGGTAAGAACACAGCTAGAACAGGCAGGGGTGCTAAAGCACAAGGCAATATGGAGATGGCTTATAATGGAGTGACTAGGTGACAGGAGAGGGAAGAGAAGATAGAGGAGGATTTTTTTGGTTTTTGTTTTTCTTTTTTTCGGTGATGCCAGGGATCAAACACAAGTGTTCTACTACTTAGCTACATAGCCAGCCCAGTACATGAGTCCTTAACGGAGGGCAGAGACTGTGTCTTTGAAGAGTTGAGATCTACACTCTGAAGGACAGCAACAACATCTCCAATATCCTGTCAGGCTACATTTCTCCAAGGAGAATTTTATTCCTTAGTTTTGTATCAATGGGGTCCAATCCAAGGCCTAGGGCCCATGTTAGGCTAGCACTCTGCCACTGAGCTATACCTCCCTCCCCTAGGAAGACTTAAGAGATCCTAAAAAGTAAATTCCATCTTTTCCTCCCCATTAGTTCAGGATGAGAGAGATCCAAACTTTCAGTCCAAATACCCAGGAATGAGAGTGGGAAAGCAGATAGGGCCCTACAATGTCTTAGTCCTTATCTGGTCCCTCATAAACGCACCTGTCTTTAAGCTCAAGCTTAACATAAGCATGAGCCAGTCCATTGCCAGTCTTACACAGCAAAGAAAGCCCTTCCTTCATCATGTTCTCAGTGAGGGGGACCGGCATCCACTGCAGGAGGAAGTAAAGTGAGACATCCCTTTCCAGCCCACCCCAGCCCTAGGACCCTTCCCCTTGTAGGCTCTCACTTCCTCGGAGAACTCTTCCCCCTCCTTCTTGTAGTCCTCCCACTCCTCTGTCTCCTTCTCATCTTCTTCTTTTTCCAGATCTTCCTGGTCTGGCTCTGACTCTGGCTCAAAGTCATCCAGATCATCCTCATCTGACATCGTTCTCCCCGCTGGAAGGTTCTGGAATCAGATTAAGCTCAATCCTTGTCCTGGGAAAGAAAGACTTGGCTTCCACCAACCCTCAACTCCCTGGCCTCCATGGACATGTACCCGGCCTATCACCCCTGCCTTTCCAACTGAACTTCTTCCCTCATCCTGTGAATATTTCGTTTTGACTTCCAACACCCATTTCATACATACCACCAAGGACTCCTCTCCTTTCAGAATGCCTTCCTGGACCCCCAGATTTTTCCTACCCTTTGCAGTGACTCCAACTCTCCAGCAGACCAGTTTCCCTGTTTCCTGGACTTCCCTCTCCCCACTTCTTCCACCTTCCCCTTCAATCAAGTCCTATTCAATCTTCCCTACCAATTTCTCCTCCTCCCCTCGGTTACCCTCACCTCCCCTCTTCCAACTCTAACCCCCCTGCATTCTTTACGAATAACTTTGCCTCTCGGTTTAGCCTCATTCCCCTGACCCTTCTGGAACATGGGCCTGACGTGCAGTCTTCAACCCTGCAAACTAATCCCCATTCGCAAAGGGGTGCTGACCCCGGTTCTGCTCAACTAGAAGCAGTTCTGAAGAGGGTCTTGAATCTGAGAAGGAAGGATTGTTTTGGAAGAGGCGCAGGGTGGCTAATAGGGTTGTGTACTGTTGTTATGGCAACGCAAGGCGGGCGGGGAGGGGGCACCTGGCTACCGCAATCCGCAACCGTTCAGTGAAAAGCACAGACCAACTGAACTGCAAATCCGCTGGAGGGGGTGGATCCGTAGTTGCCTAGTTACGAAGCCACTTTCCCAGTCCCAGGAGCCCGGATGAAGCACAGAAAACGTCGTGTAGTTAATTGCCGGAGGTCGTAAAACAGTGGGCAGGGTTTAGAAGAGTCCAGAGAGGCGGGAGGGAGGAGGGGCTAGCCATTACGTCATCTAAGACCTTAAAGGGACTGGATTTTTTTTTTTTTCTTTTTAGTTGTAGATGGACACGATATCTTTTTTTGATTTATTTATTTTTATGTAGTGCTGAGGATCGAACCCAGTGCCTCTGCCACTGAGCCCCAGCCCTAGCCCCGGGACTGGATATCTTTGATGCAAAAGCACTGTGAATTCCGAAGAAACTCGTCCCTAAAAGCAAAAGAGACAGGGGCGGTATACAAGGAGAAGAAATACCAAGATACATGGTCTAATTCCCCCAAAGGCTCGCCCATTAATTTTCAGGTAGACTTTTGGAAGGAACCTTGTCAAGGCGTGTTTGTTTTCTGGAGTTTGTTTAATCTGGTTTGGTTTGGTTTGGTAGGGGATTGAAAGCAAGGGTGCTTTACCACTGAGTTACATCCCAGCCCTTTTCATTTTTTTATTTGGCGACAAGGTCTCACTAAATTGACAACTTGTGAATACACAAGTGCATAAGTAACTCAATATAATGAGAAAGAAAACAGGGTAAAAAAAAGGAAAATATGTACTGAGAAAGATGTTATAATGATAGCCAATACTGTAGAGTTTTTATTAAGTGTCGGTTGTTTCCTTGTTGTTTTTGTTTTTATTGTTGTTTTGTGGTACTGGGGATTGAATCCAGGATCTCCTCCGTGCTAGGAGATGATTTCATAATCCATCATATGTTTAGGCAGAGAAAGCACATGTGGTACCTGTACAAGGAAAGCAGGTGGTTCTACTGGGTGAACAGTTAAGTTTGGTGTGGGAGCAGGATGAGCTAGGAGCAGGGAACAGATCACAGTGAGAAATCTGGACTTTTTCCTGGAAGCTGTAGGGAGTCACTGAAGACTTTGTCTTTAGCTGGAAAGGACTGACTACACTGTAACGAATGCTATAGAGGCCATGATATCCTTGATGTTCTTCCTCCAACGATTGATCTAGATAGAATCTACTTCAATTACAAAAGTAATCTTTATTTTAAATAAAAATACAAGTTGGGACAAGGGTTGTGACTCAGCAGTAGTGAGCTTGCCTAGCATGATGCTCCATGGCCTGGCTTCTAGCACCACAAAAAGAAACAAACAAAAAGCAAATTCAGAAGCATATATAGAAGAACATGATTTCCCACAGCACCATTCTCCTTTGAGTAAAGATCAAAGCTAAGCCGGGCAGTGGTGTACCTGTAATCCTAGCAGATCAGGAGGCTGAGACAGAAGGATTTTGAGTTAAAAGCCAGCCACAGCAATTTAGGGAGGCCCTATCTCTAAATAAAATATTAAAAAGGACTGGGGATGTGGCCCAATGGCTAAGCGCCCCTGGGTTCAATCCTTGGTACCAAAAAAAAAAAAAAAAAGACCAAGATATCAAAGCCAGGTGTGATAGTACAGGCCTGTAATCCCAGGGACTAAGGAGGCTAAGGCAGGAGGATCACAAGTTCCAGGCCAGCCTCAGCAATTTAACAAGATCTTAAGCAATTTAGTGAGAACCTGTCTCAAAATAAAAAAAGGCTTGGGATGTGTAAAGTGCCTCTGGGTTCAATTTTTATAAAACAAATTGCATCAATCATAAATACTGTTCATCAACAGGACTTTTTTTTAAAATTTAATCATGCCTTGAGCCTCTTTCATATCCCCAACCATAGATGTAATCCTAGGAGGCTGAGGCAGGAGGTTAGAGAGTTCAAAGCCAGCCTCCACAATTTAGCGAGGCCCTAAGCAATTTAATGAAAACCTGTCTCAAAAATTAAAAAGGGTGCTGGGGATATAGCTCAGTTGGGAGAGTGCTTGCCTAGCATGCACAAGATCCTGTGTTCAATCCCCAGCACCACAAAAAAAAAAAAAAAAAAAAATTAAAAAGGGCTGGGGATGTGGCTTGGTGGTTAAGCATCCCTAAATTCAATCCCTAGTCTAAAAAAAAAAAAAAAATTGATTAGGGCCTCACTAAATTGCTGAGATTGTCCTCAAACTTGCAATCTCCTGCTTCAGCCTCCCCAAATCACTGGGATTACAGGCATACATCACACACCCAGTTGTTATATTTTATTTTGAGACAAAGTCTCACTTTGTTGCCAGGCTGGCCTAGAACTCCTGGGTACAAACTATCCTCCTGCTTCAGGCTCCAGGGAAGCTGGGATTATAGGAGTGAGCCAACATACCCAGTTTATTTTTTGGCAATTATGAATAATGCAGCTATAAACATTCATGTACAAGTTTTTATGTGGCCATATGTTTCCATTTCTCTTGGTTATATATCCAGGAGTAGAATTGCTAGGCATATGGTAATCCTGTATTTAGTCTTTGGAAGAACTCCCAAACTGTTTTCCAATGTGGCTGTACCATTTACAATTCCACCAGTAGTGTTTGAGGATTCCCATTTCTCCAGGTTCTCTCCAATAGTTACCTATTTGATAATAGTCATCACAGTGGATGTGCAGTAGTATCTCATTGTGGTTTTTATTTGCATTTCTCTAATGGCTAAAGATAATGAGCATATTTTTATGTCCTTCTTAAAAATTTTTCTTCTTTTTTTTAGTTGTCAATGTACCTTTATTTTTATTTATATGTGGTGCTGAGAATTGAACCCAGTGCCTTACATGCTCAGCAAGTGCTCTACCACTAAGCTACAACTTCAGCCCATATTTTTATGTTCTTATTGCCCACTTGAATATCTTCTTTGGAAAACTTTCTATTCTACTTATTCTATTCTAATTTATTTATTTATTTATTTATTTGTTTATTTATTTATTTATTTATTTATTTATTTATGTGGTACTGAGGATTTAGCTCAGAGAGACTTAACTACTGAGTCTTCTTTCTTTCTTTCTTTCTTTTTTTTTTTGAACTGGGGATTGAACTCAGGGGTACTCCACCACTCAGCCACATTCTCCAGCCCTATTCTCCAGCCCTATTTTGTATTTTATTTAGAGACAGGGTCTACTGAGTTGCCTAGCGCCTTGAAGTTGCTGAGGCTGGCTTTGAACTCGAGATTCTCCTGCCTCAGCCTCCTAAGCCTCTAGGTGTTTTTTATTTTGAGACAGGGTCTCAATAAATTGCTGAGGCTGGCTTTAACTTAAGATCCTCTTGCCTCAGTCTCCCAAACCACTGGGATTACAGGTGTGCGTGAGCCACCTTGCCTAACAGACGATTTATACTATTTGGTCAACATTGTGCCCAACTAAAAAACATTTCTCAACTGCCATAAGTCAATGATGTACCTATTAATGAAAGTCATGGGCAAAACTTCCAGAAAACCCTTCTCTCATTTGCTTCCTGTCTGAAATGTGATGGCTGGAGTTCCAGCAGCAATATGGGGAGAAAAACTAGAGAAATCAAGCCACAGTTAAGATGCCAGAATAAAAATGGAGAACAACCTGGGTTATGGAAGAGAATGTGAAGATGTCATACCAATTCTGAACTGCCAATCTTCCAACTTATATTTTTGTGAGAAAGAAAAACAAAATCATTAAGCCACTGGGCTTGAGGGAATCTCTGTTGTAGGTAATTGTAATTCTTAAGTGATTACAGAATTTGTAATATTATCCCAAAATTTATGATCTTAAAACAACGTTTTTATCTGGGTATGGTGGTGTACTTTTGTAATCCCAATAGCTGGGGAGGCTGAGGCAGGAAGATTGCAAGTTCAAACCCTGCCCCAGGGATGGGGTTGTGGTTCAGACGTAGAGTACTCACTCAGCATGCATGAGGCACTGGGCTCCATTGATCCTCAGCACCATATAAAAATAAAATAAAGACATTAAAAAAAAAGCCTCAGCAATTTAGTGAGGCCCTAAGGAACTTAGTGAGACCATGTCTCAAAATAAAATATGAAAAGGGCCGGGGATGTGGCTCAGTGGTTAAGCGCCCCTGGGTGGTTCAATCCCCAGTACCAAAAAATAAAAAAATAAAAAGAGCCAAAAACTTTTTTTTTAAATTTATTTAAATCCTTTTTATCTCAGTTTCTGTGGGTCAGGAATCCAAGAGCAGCTATACTGGGTTGCAGTCAAACTGTCAGCTGGGACTGCAGTTATCTGAAAGCTTGACTAGGGCTGGAGGATTTGCTTCCAACATGGTGCACTCATATGATTGTTGGCAAGACAGCTCCTTGCCATCTGGGTTTTTCCAAGGGGACTGAGTGTCCTCATAACATGGCAGCTGTCTTCCCCCAAAGCATGTATTCTGACAGAAGAGACCAAGATGGAAGGCACTCTGTTTTTTATGATTCCAAAATCAAATACCATCTCTTCTACTTCTCTCTCTCTCTCTCTCTCTCTCTCTCTCTCTCTCTCTCTCTCTCTTTCTCTTTCTTTTATTTTCTTCTTATTGTTTATTTTTTTGGTACTGGGGATTTGGGGATTGAACCTAGGGGCATGTTGCCATTAAGCTACATTCCCATTCCAGTTTACTTTTTATTTTGAGATAGGATCTTACTAAGTTGCTGAGTCTGGCCTCCATTTTGCAATCCTCCTGCCGAAGCTTCAGAAATTGCTGGGATTACAGTGTGCACCCAGCTTTAGATTTAGATACCACATTTTCAAATGCATCCATTAAGAATGTCACTTATTGAAATGTGGGTATTTTGGCTGCCAGGGAACTTGAATTTGACCCAATGTAGGGTCTCAGACACATGTTCTTTGTTCTGCAGCTTAGTGCAGATGGACATGATGACTTGGATGGCTCGAACCCTATGTCCTGGAGCTTCCCAGTGGCACCCCACATACATATCTATGTTCCCTAAATTGGGAACAACA